TGTGTGTGTGTGTGTGTGTGTGTGTTTGTATGTGTCTGTCTGTCTGTGTCTGTGTGTGTCTCTGTGTGTGTGTGTGTGTGTGTGTGTTTGTGCTGCAGGTCTGGAAAAGAAAGTTTTCCAAAGCTCCTGTTTGCCCAAAAAATACACCGGTGAATTCAGCTTCGGAGGATTCAGTTATCACGTCAGCGGAGTCACCGATGGTAAAACACAATTAAACCTGTTCATACGACCATAAAAATTGTTTGTATTATGATGATGATTTAACATTTACCTAAAATTCATGTTATTGAAATGTGAAATATATTATTTACATTTTTAAAAAGTATGTATTCATCATATTGGTATTAGACTGAATTAATGTTACAGATATTTTTCACTAATAGAGTAAAAGAATCACTGTACTACAGTAAAAAGAAACTGAGAATCATGAGAATTACTGACAAAACATCTGCATGCATCTCCGTGATACAGTGGGGTTTTACAAGTTGGAAATAGTGTTACTTGTATTATTTGTGTACTATTGTAGCATTTACTAATATTGTGAGTTTAAAATTTAGATTTGTCAGGTTTTAAGTGTTATATTTATATTTTATTTTATATTTATAATCATTTATTTTTATAAATCATTAAAATAATTAAATAATTTAAATATGATAAATAATAGTAAAATAGTAGTAAAATATTTAAATTGTATTTCTATTTTATTTATAAAAAATATTACATGAAAAACTATGAATTAGCAAGTAAATGAAATAAAAATAGAAATGCTAAAAACAAAATAAGAAAAATGAATAAAAAATGTAATTTAAATTTAAATGAAATTTTATTTCAGAAATGATTTCTATAAAATAAAATATAAATGTAGTATAAAAGTAGTAAAGTATATAAATTGTATTTCTGTTTATTTCATTTATAAAAACATGATAATCGTAAATGTTGCCTTGGCAAGTAAATGAAATAAAAATAAACAGAAATACTAAAAACTAAATAAGAAAATGACAAAAGCGTATAACAAAATTACTAAAACTGCAAATAAATATAAAAACTAATTCAAAATTAAAAAAAATACTTTAATAGTAAGTAAATAATACTTAAGTAATTTTTGTTTTATTTTTATGTCAGTTTTAATTCATTAAAGAAAATTATTTTAATCTGGGAAGAAAATGTGTTTGTTTGTCATTAAAATAATGCAAAAATTCTTCTGAGTTAAAAGTCTTGAATGAATGTTTATTTGTTGCGAATTCGATGTGACTTG